ATAGAAACCTTTGCTATCTGTCTTTATATTCTGTCCTAATTTTTTCTCATGTTCTATCTTACTTTTCTTTATAGCTCTTTTTGTGGCTTTCTGTTGACCTTTAAAGTTTTCCCAATCTTCTAGTTTCATGCTGTTTTTGGCCACTTTGTATGCCTTCTCTTTCAATTTGATAGCCTCCCTTATTTCTTTAGACACCCATGGCAGATTACCCCTTTTCTTACAGTCCTTCCTGTTCACTGGAATATACTTTTGCTGAGCACTTTGAAAAATTGCTTTGAAAGTCCTCCACTGCTCGTCAACTGTCCCACCATAAAATCTTTGTTTCCAGTCTACTTTAGCCAAATCCTCCCTCATTCTATTGTAGTTCCCCTTGTTCAAGCAGTAAAGAGGTGAACAGGTTAGCTACAAGAACAGGTCAGAGGCAAGGTATCCTGGATGGAGTAAAATCTGCAACCTCTGCCATCTGTAATGACAAGAAATATGGGAATACTACCACCACACACAAGTTCTCTCCAACCACCATCCTGATTTAATATCACTTGGTCAAAATTCTGGAACTCTGTTGCTAACATCATTGCAATTGTCACTACACTCCAAGGACTGCAGCAGTTCAAAAAAACAAAAGGGCAGGGCAGTTAGGAACAGACAATAAATGCTGGCCCACATCCCATGGATGAATAAATTACCAACACCATTCACCTACGATCACTCTTGATTCATTCGGCTTAATACCCATGCCTATGTAAAAAGTTCCTGAAGCCTGACTTCTGATCTTAAATTCCTTTCTTTTGACCATCACATGCAATATCTACAGATGAACATCAAGGTAGGCCAATCTAGACTTCAAGCCTGATCCACTACTCAATAAGATCACGGCTGATTGGACTTTAAACTCAACTCTAATTCCTGCATATCCTCAACAATTTTTCAGTCCTTTGGTAATCAAGAAGCTATTTGAATTAAAAAAAATCAAAAATTCCGCATCCATTGCCTTTTGAAGGGAATTCCAAAGACACTCAACCCTCAAAAATGTGGCCTAATTGGTCTTAAATGGGCAATATTTTAAAACTATGATCTCTAGTTCGAGATTCTCCACAAGCAGAAATATCCTTTTGACTTCCACACAGTCAATTCACAGGAATTGCCCCAGAGAACAATCATGCATCATTAAAAGCCTACTGGTTTTTCTTTTTGTGATACCAGAACAAGATTTCTGGATTTTCCTTCAGCTAACTATAACACAAAATGGATCAAACTAGTATCCAACCCTCACTGCATCATTCAATCCAAAATCACACACTTAATTCCTAAAGCATCCCATCTTTATCACCTACCACTTTTGCTGGTTTCAAAATTCATTCCTTTTAAAAACTTCTCATTCAGCAAAAATACTTTTTATATCAGTTGAGCTGGTTTCCCAGGAGTAAGCTGCTAAGAGCTGGGTAACGTTCGTAAACAAAAACAAAAGTTGCTGGAAAAGCTCAGTAGATCTGGCAGCATCCGAAAAGAGAAATCAGATTTGACCTTTCAGGTCTGGTGACCCTTTCTCAGAACTCGGTGACGTTCAAGATCATTTTTCTTGCAGTCATGCAACCTATTCATATTTGGATCACCAGTTTCTCTGTTTCATCCCCAAGCTACTAGTCCAGATTTCTCATTCTAAGTCCCTTCCACATACACATTCATCCAAGCGATAAGACTGGATGTCCTCTGACTTGTATACCAACCATCCAAGTCTTTTTGTTTGGCCTCTTATTAATTGGACTTTCATTCCTCTGCCTATCACTTCTCTTATTCCCTTTTCTTTGTTCTTTTCCTTGATTCCTAGTCCTCCGATTCCATCCCCCTGACAATTTAGTTTAAATCCTCTCTAACCACTCACAAATGCTCCCCCTTGGCATCAGTCCCAATCTTGCACAGGTGTAACCCATCCAGTTTGTACAGATTCCATGTTCTCCCAGAAACCAGTTCCAGTGGCCCAGGAATCTGAAACCCACCCCCTCACACCATCTCTTTAGCCATACATTCATCCAATATATCTTGCTTTTTCTACTGAGTAGAATGGGGCACTGGTGGTAATCCTGAGATCATGACCTTTAAGACCTTACTTTTCGGCTTGCTTCTTAACTCCTTATATTCTACTTGTAGGGCCTCATTCCTTTTTTAACCTATGTCTTTGGTACCAATGTGTATCACAACCACTGGCTGTTTACCCTCCCCCTCTAAGATACCTTGTAGCTACCAAAACATTCTTAACCTTAACACCAGAGAGGCAACATATCATCCTGAAGTCTCATTTGCGGCCACAGAAATACCTGTCTATTCCCTTTAGACTATTGCATTTCCACAGTTTTTGCTTTTTCCCTGTGCAGCAGAGCCAACTATGGTGCCATAAATTTAGCTGTGGCTGTTTCCCCAATAGGCCATTCCCTCATCAGTATCCAAAGCAGATTATCTGATTTTCAAAGGAACGGCCACAGAGATTCCTGCACAACCTACCTAGTGGTCATCTACTCCCTTTTTAAACTGTGGACTCAGCCTGGTGTGAGTTATATCAAGGGATTTCGACTACTTCAATATTAATTGGGATAATCATAGCACAAAGGGTTTAAAGGGGGCAGATTTCTTGAAATCATATGGGAGAGCTTTTTGTGTCAACATGTAGATGGTCCTACAAAAGGGATAGTGTAGTGCTAAGGCTGGATAGGTGTTTAAGGAGACAGTCAGGGATAATTTAGTGATAGTAACCACAACAACATACGTTTTAAGTTTGTTATGGCAAAAGGAGAAAGATGGCCAACAGGAAAATGTTTTGGACTGGGCTGCAGCATAATGCAGTATTAAAACAAACAGCTACTTTGGGGTAAATCTACAGCAGAACAGTTGAAGGCATTCATAAAAGGTACTGGGGGGGCAGTACAAGCCCAACATGTTCCCTTTACGGTGAAATGTAAGTGCAAAAAGCCCAGAGAACCTTGGAGGTCTAGAGATATTCAGGAATGGATACAGGATAAAGAGATGCGTAATCAGGTACAATGGTAACAAAATAACAAGGAGGCTGAAGGAGTATAGAAAGTGCAGGTGAGAACATGAAAACAATTAGGAGCAAAGACAGGCATAAGAAAACACTGGCAGGCAAGATTAGGGAGAATCCAAGATATTCTGCAAGTATATTCTCCATTTCAAAGTAACCTACTCAGGGTTTTAGTCCTAGACCAGAAGGATATCACTAAACGTCTTACTCCAAAAAGGTAAGCTTTCTTGCTAGCTTCTCCCCTTCTCAGAAGCACAGCTTTACACATCTATTCACACCACTTTTCACTGAGTTCAGTCCACCACTGAAGTCAACATTGCTAACTTTGCCTAGGACAATAAAGACCGTTTGTATGTGTTGAGTGCCACATTTTAATACTGCTGAACTAATCAATCGAGTGAAATTCTCTTTCTGTTAAGTCCAGCTCACCTGTAAACAACGATACCACATCTTGGAGGTCAACACTGCTGCCATGATTCCCATATGTTTGATAACAAGTTTCTGATTAATTTCTGGGACCAGATACCATATAGGGAGATAGGCACTGTTGTCTCCAAGCATGGTGGTTGTTTGAAGTCAACAAAATAAGTTACCTCAGGAGTAAGAAGTTTCAACACAGTCCTCGACCACAAAGATAAAACCCCATAAAAAGGTTATTTTGAAGGAGAATATTGTAGCACAGGTATACAAAGGCTCCAGTAAAAGTCTAATTTTCAAGACTGGCAGTTGAAGTCACAATCAACCTGTCTATTGAAGTGTTAGAAAAAAAACTGTTTTCTTGTGTGAGTACTATACAATGGTGGGGCTTTTAGATACTGTACAGGGGTGTCTTGAGATCTGCAAGGGTGTTTTTTTTTAAAAAAAGAGGAGTGTAGATTATCTCAGGTTTAAAAATGTTTAAGTGTGTTTTACATAAATGATCTGATTAATTCCATTTTATTTTCATCTCTTTTGCTTAATAACCTCCTCTTTCATTGTTAAAACCAAATCAGCAACTTTGATTGCTTATGCTTCAATAAGATACCACCTTGTTGAAACCAAAATATGATGTACATCAAGCTTGATTCAGCCTGGAATCAGACTTGCCTAGTGATGATATCAGCAACAGACTAGTCTATTCTGAACCACAGATTTCAAACTCGTGTGTTGAGATAGAGTGTCATTTAGGAATATAATACATATGAATTTAGGGTTAGGGGATATGTAACTGCAGAGGTGGTCTTTAATAAGAAAATTCAAGTTTACTTGCTGTCTCACAAAAGCAACATTGCAAAGCAATTGAGATAACAAGGTGTAGAGCTGGATGAACACAGCAGGCCAAGCAGCATCAGAGGAGCAGAAAGGCTGACGTTTCGGGCCTAGACCCTTCTTCAGAAAATTTCTGAAGAA